CCTCCCCCAGGGCTGAGGAACAAACAGGTACCTCCCCCTGGGCTGAGGAACAAACAGGTACCTCCCTCAGGGCTGAGGAACAAACAGGTACCTGTCCCTGGGCTGAGAATGAACAGGTACCTCCCCCGGGGCTGAGGAGTGAGCAGGTACCTCCCCTGGGGCTGAGGAACAAACAGGTACCTCCCTCAGGGCTGAGGAGTGAACAGGTACCTCCCCTGGGGCTGAGGAATAAAACAGGTACCTCCCTCAGGGCTGAGGAACAAACAGGTACCTCCCCCAGGGCTGCCACCCATCATGGGAAGCTCTGGATGTTGGTGGGAGGCTCTGGATGTCCGTGGGAGGCTCTGGATGTCCGTGTGCTCACGTGTCCGTGTGGCTGCGACGTGGCCGGGAAAGGGGGTGGGTGGTTTTCAGAGTTTATTTAATAAAGTCCCTTCCTCCCATCCCTTTTACTGATGTTGTACAGAGAAAAAAAAAACAAAAACCCTCAGTGGGCAAATGAACCGGGCTGCGCTTGAGTTTTTGGCTGTTTAATGCTGTTCACTGAAACATAATTATGGAGATAAATTTCAGTGCTGCTCACCCGGGAATCAGAGGGAACCTTAAACTGGGACACACTTCCCTGGGACACGGTTGGATGGCAGAGTGTGGGGGTTGGATGGTTTCCTGTCTAGTTGTGTGTTTGCAGGGCCAGGGGAGGACTGAGCTGTTCCCTCAGGCCTCCAGCTGAGCTCTGGGCTCCCAAACCCAGCCCTTGCCTGGTCCTGGCTCTTCCCGGGGGCATGGCTGGGCCCGCAGGACTGGGATGCTGCTGGTGCTGGGAGGAGTTGTCTGAGCTCAAACCTCGGTGTGTAGGAGAAACATCTCTCTCCCGAACTGGAACTGCTTCCTCTGCACAGGCTTTGTCTCTGGGGAGTCCTTTTGGTGCCTTAATTGATTGCACCTTGACACTAAAAAAAAAAAGTCTCCTTAAATCAGTGGTGGGTTGGGCTGGTTGTCCCTGGTGCCACCAGAGCAGGGAGGGAGCAAAGCCCGCCTCAGTGATCTGTGCTGCTGAGGAGGGGGAGTTCTCCTTGGGCTGGTGGAAATCCAGTGATTTCTGCTCCTGGATCCTGAGAGGGGAAGGGAAACGAGCAGAGAGCAAAGCCCGTGGGCAGGGTGGGGTGTGGCAGCTGAGGAACAACCCCTTTATCCATTGCTCTGGTGTTGGGTCTGAAGGATAAATGTGTTCCTGGGTCACAGCTCCTGAGGGGGATGTCCCACGGGGGAGGTCACTGGCTGGTCTCTGTCCTCCCCAGGGGATGTGCTCCTGGGGATGGAGGGCACCTGTCCTGGCTCCTCAGCTCCTCAGCTGACCTGTGCTGTCTCTTCTTCCCGGGATAATGTTAGTTCGGGTTGCTCCAAGCCTTGGACACTTCCAGGGATCCAGGGGCAGCCACAGCTTCTCTGGGCAACCTGGGCCAAGGCCTCCCCACCCTCACAGCCTGGAATTCCTTCCCAGTCTCCCATCTCTCCCTGCCCTCTGGCAGTGGGAAGCCATTGCTCCTTGTCCTGTCCCTCTATCCCTTGTCCCCAGTCCCTCTCCAGCTCTCCTGGAGCCCCTGGATGGGACTTGGCAGCCGCCTCTTCTCATAAACATCAGGCACCTGAGCCAGGGGCTCTGCCAGAGCCGGGAGCAGCGCTGGGATCGTGAGCTCCTGAGGCTCTGGGAGCACCTTCCAGATCCTTCAGCGGGGCTGATGTCACCTCCTGGCTCATAGAGGACCTGCCACAGGGACTCGGAGCTGTTTTGATCTCGGGTCAGCTCTGGGAGGCCCCTAAACTCTTCTCCTCCAAGCCTGTTTGGGATAGACCTGGACAATCCCTAGGGAAGCAGCGCTTTTGGGAAAACAGCCTTGGCTGCTCCTGCTTTTGGCACCTGTGCTGTGTCAGAGCAGGGCCTGAGGTGACACCGAGGCTGCTCTTGGTGGAACAGGGAGAGGACAAGAGGGAACGGCCTCCAGCTGTGCCAGGAGAGGGGCGGGTTGGATATTGGGACAATTCCTTCCCTGAAAGGGCTGTGCAGCCCTGGCACAGCTGCCCAGGGCAGGGGGGAGTCCCCATCCCTGCAGGGATTTAAAAGCCCTGTGGAGGTGGCCCTTGGGGACACGGGTCAGGGGTGGCCTGGGCAGGGCTGGGGGACAGTTGGGCTCGATGGACTCTGAGGGTTTTTCCAACCCAAATTATTGGTGGTGACAACGGGAGCTCTTTGCTTGTGGGAAAGGTGTGTAGAGGACCCTTTGGCCCACCCAGGTGTGGTCAGACCTGGCTTGGGAGGTTTCTGGGCTGGTCTCCAGGGGAGTGGCCGGGGTGTCCCTGCCCCAGGTTCTCAGGAATTCGCTGCCTCACCCTCCCAGTGTCGTTCATCCGGTCAGAGCTGGGGCCGTGCTCCGGGTCGGACACTTCAAAATCCACTTCAAAATCCACCCCCTTCCCTCCCCGTCTCCCAGCAGGGACACTGCCCTGCCCCATCCCTCGGAGTGTGTCCCCTGGAGTGGACGCCGGCCCTGGCAAAGCCCCGGTGGCTCTCCCCGAGTCCCGGCTCCGGGGGTTCAGGTTCTGCAGTGGGTGTGGAGTCCGGTCTGTTCGATGCTATTACTGAAATATTTATTGTGTTTGAACCAAACGAAAAACTATTAAAGATCAGTAAAGAATAAAATTTTCCACGCCTTTTACGGGTGTTTGTCTTTCCTTTCTGCTGAAGGTGGGGAGGATGAAGGTGGAGCAGGGAAAGGGCTGCAGGGCAGCGGGCACAGGTGGATTCCTACAGTGACAGGGTGGTCTGAGGGGGGAGGGACCTTAAAGACCATCTCATTCCATGGGCAGGGACACCTTCCACCAGCCCAGGTTGCTCCAGCCTGGCCTTGGACACTTCCAGGGATGCAGGGGCAGCCACAGCTTCTCTGGGCAACCTGGGCCAGGGCCTCCCCACCCTCACAGCCAACAATTCCTTCCCAGTCTCCCACCTCTCCCTGCCCTCTGGCAGTGGAAGCCATTCCCTGTGTCCTGTCCCTCCAGCCCTTGTCCCCAGTCCCTCTCCAGCTCTCCTGGAGCCCCTTTAGGCTCTGGAAGGGGCTCCAAGGTCTCCCTGGATCCTTCCCTTCCCCAGATGAGCACCCCCAGCTCTCCCAGCCTGGCTCCAGAGCAGAGGGGCTCCAGCCCCGGCAGCATCTTTGCAGGACTGGGAGCAGCCCCAGCTGGGCTGGGGAACGTCAGAGCAGCCCGTGTGACCCGGGGTGGCAGCGGGGACAGGGATCCCGGGTGAAGCTGTCCCGGGAGCGGCGGAGGCGGCTCCATCCCGGTGGCAGAGCCTCGGGCAGAGGACCCGAGAGCCCCGCGGCTCTGCCCGTGCCCTGCGCCGCGCTCTCTCCCCCCGGGATAAAGCCAAGGTGTGTTTAAGCGCTGCCCCGTCCTTTCTCAGCCGCTCCACGGCTTCCCCTAAGCGGATTGCTGCGGGAGGTGTAATGGAATTAAGGGATTCCCACCGACAATAGGTTTCGGAGCGCACCGGGCGCCGGCACCCCGCGGTCTGCTCCCACCTTCCCGCGGCTGGTTCCACCATCCCGGGCTGCTCCCGCTCCTCTGACGACTGCTCCCATCTTCCTGGGACTGCTCTTCCACCCTCCCGGGTTATTCCCACCTTCCCGGGTCGCTCCCGCCCTCCCAGGACTGCTCCCACCTTCCCGGGGCTGCTCCCACTCTGCCGAGACTGCATTTTCCTTCCCGGGGCTGCTCCCACCTTCCCGGCGTTACTCCCACCTTCCCGGGGCTGCCCTCTCCCTCCGGAGCTGTTCCCACTCTCCCGGGACTGCCCTGACCTTCCCGGCGTTACTCCCACCTTCCTGGGGCTGCCCTCTCCCTCCGGAGCTGCTCCCACTCCCCTGGGACTGCCCCGTCCTTCCCGGGGCTGCTCCCACCTTCTCTCCGCTGCTCCCGCCTTCCCGGCGTTACTCCCTCCTTCCCGGGGCTGCCCTCTCCCTCCGGGGCTGTTCCCACTCTCCTGGCACTGCCCTGACCTTCCCGGGGTTGTTCCCACCTTCCCTCTGCTGCTCCCGCCCTCCTGGGAACGCTCCCACCCCCCCTCCCGACACTCCTCCCGCTCTCCCGGGTTTCCCCTTTTCCCCTCCCGGGCTTCTCCCACCTTCCCGGGTTACTCCCACCTTCCCGGGGCTGCCCTCTCCCTCCGGGGCTGTTCCCACTCTCCCGGGACTGCCCTGACCTTCCCGGGGTTGTTCCCACCTTCCCTCCGCTGCTCCCGCCCTCCTGGGAACGCTTCCACCCCCCGGGCCTGCTCCCACCCCCCCCCCGACACTCCTCCCGCTCTCCCGGGTTTCCCCTTCTCCCACCTTCCCGGCCTTCTCCCACCTTCCCGGGCTGCTCCCACTTTCCCGGGCTGCTCCCACCCTCCGTTTGGACCCCGCACAGTTACAGGACGAAAGTACTCTTTAAATTAATCTCTTTATTCTGGAAGCTGATTAGGAACGAAAACCATCAAACGAGGACTCGGCCCCCTCTGCCGGGCGAGAGGAGGATTTACTGGAGCCAGTCACCACTGTCCCTTTGGACTCGCTGTGTCCGGGACAGCGAATCCCAGAGCTGGTGAGAGCCGGGGCTGCGGGAACGCTGAGGAAATCCTGCCCCGGGAGTCGAGCTTTGGTCCCTACACTCCCCCCCGCGTCCGACAGAGAACGGAGGTTTCCCTCGCCCCACCTTTTCCTATTGATGTATTTACAAAAACATTTTTATTACCCTTTACGGAAGTGGCCAGATTAAGTTCTGATTGAGCTTCTGCATTTCTGATTTCCTTTCTGCGTGACCTAAGGACATCCTTAAACACTTCCTGAGGAGCAAAGCAGCGGGCAGGGTCACAGAGGGGCAGCAGGAATAAAGAGGAATCTGTCACATCTCTCCCTTATCTCAGCTGAGCCTCCAGGTCTGGGCTGGGCAGCAGCTGGTGGGTGGAAGAAACTGTTTCTGTCATAAAAAGGACTCGGGGGTGGATTAGATGACCTTTAAAAGTCCCTTCCAACCCAAACCAGTGTGTGATTCCATGATTTTGAAGAGCAAACACCTGGTGGCAGTTCCACCGCAATCACCACAGGAACAGTCCCCAACGCATTTCAGGGGAGGGGAGGGAAAGAAAAGAGCCATTCCGTGTGTTTTGTCCTGATTTATTGTGGTTGTTACCTCGGTGACATTCATTTGTCAGATGCAATTTGCTCATTCCAACAGCCTTTGGACATCGTGCAGCAAAACTGCCCCCTCCGAGCCCAGCCCCTGGGACTGACCCCACTGCCCCAAGAGCTGCTCCTGCCCACGGCATTCGCCCCCCCTCAGCCCACCCACCACCACTGCTTCACGTTCTCCCTGTCTCCAAACTCAGTCCTCTGTACAGAGCTTTGCAATCATTTTTGTTCCCCACTGGGAGAAATCCTGCGGAGTTCCCAGAGGGAGCAGACAGGTTACGAGGAGCCTGCGGAGACTCCGAGCCCCGTTGGCTGTTTCCTCTGCTGGAAGTGGAATAGAGCGTGTTCATCAGATACAAATCGCTGGCTGAGTAGCTAAAAAGGGATTGATAAAGGCCACAAAGCCCCCCCTCGGAGGAGGAGGGGGTGTAGGATTTGTTAGTGCACTGAGGTGGCATCGCCGGGCACGGGACGGACGGGCACCGCTTACTGGGGGTAAAGCTCCACGATCATCGCGTGGCCCTGCAAGGGGAGAGAGGGAGAGGACGTCACAGGAGTGACTGATGATGAGAGAAAACACTCATCATTACAGACACGGCCCAGGGCTCCCGGCCACAGCACCGGGAAGGTGAGTCACAGGCTGGGCACAATCCCGGGTGTGCCCAGGGGGGCAGGAGGCCAACGGCCCCGGGGCTGTGCCAGCACTGCTGGGGCAGCAGGGCCAGGGCAGTGCCCTCCCTGTGCTGGCACTGCTGGGGCACCTCCAGTGCTGGGGCAGCTCTGGGACCTCAGACAGGAGACACAGGGAGGGGCTGGAGCGTGGGCAGGGAAGGGAAGGGAGCTGGGAAGGGGCTGGAGCAGCAGGAGGGGCTGAGGGAGCTGGGGGGGCTCAGCCTGGAGCAAAGGAGGCTCAGGGGGGACCTTCTGGCTCTGCAACCCCCTGACAGGAGGGGGGAGCTGGGGAGGGGTCGGGCTCTGCTCCCAGGGAACAAGGGACAGCCCTGGGTGGTGACGGGGGCCACCCAGACGTGCCCAGGGAGTTGTGACCACCCCGTGCCCACCGCTGGCGTCACCGGAGAGGATTCCACAGCCCCGGATTCCACAGCCCCGGCAGGAGCAGCCACACAATTCCCACCCCTCTCCCGCGGGATCAGTGCCCCAGCACAGCACCATTACCTGTCCCCCTGCAGCACAGGCGGCCACCAGGCCAAACTGTCCCCCCTCCTTCTTCAGCCTGTGGGCAGCAGTGATGACCAGGCGGCAGCCGGTGGCCCCGAAGGGGTGTCCCAGCGACAGGGACCCCCCCCCAGGTATTGAACTTGTCCAGGGGAGGGGCTCCCACCTGCGGGGACAGGGGGGGACACACGTCACAGGGCGGGGAGGGGATCCCTCCACCTAATCCCAGAGAAACTGCTCACGTTGGGATTTGCTAACCCAGAGCTCAGGGAACGTCACTGCCCCTCACAGAGCCCGGCTGGGCAGTGCCAGGAGGGATTCCAGTCATCCCACAGGTAAACTGGACTGCAGAGAAAAGTGGGTCCACAGGAGGCCCTGGAGATGCTGCCAGGGCTGGAGCCCCTCTGCTCTGGAGCCAGGCTGGGAGAGCTGGGGGTGCTCAGCTGGGGAAGAGAAGGATCCAGGGAGACCTTGGAGCCCCTTCCAGAGCCTAAAGGGGCTTCAGGAGAGCTGGAAAGAGACTGGGGACAAGGCATGGAGGGACAGGACACAGGGAATGGCTTCCCACTGCCAGAGGGCAGGGAGAGATGGGAGATTGGGAAGGAATTCCTGGTTGTGAGGGTGGGGAGGCCCTGGCACAGGTTGGGCAGAGAAGCTGTGGCTGCCCCTGGATCCCTGGGAGTGTCCAAGGCCAGGCTGGACAGGCCTTGGCCCAAACCATTCTGGGACTGTGACAATGTCCTGACTGAGCCTTACCTTTGACTTCCTGCCCATGTAGTTCTGTGCAAACCAGTCTGAATCCATGGCCTTCAGATTAGCCAGGATCTGGCCCTGCAAGGGAAGGGAGGGGTGATGTTAACAAGGACAGTGTCAGACTTTGGGGGAAGCCTACAGCCAGTGACAGCACCTGAGAGGAGCTACAGCCACCAAACAAGCACAGCCAGCTAAAAATACTTTACAGGATCAGCCCTGCTAATAAATATCAGCTCGAGGGTCACTAGGAACAGAGCCTGGCCAATTAACAAGCCAATTAACAAATATGGCAACGCACTGGCCAGAGAGAGCCAGCAAGGTGGTCAAGGGGATGAAGCCCCTCTGCAGTGAGGAAAGGTGAGAGAACTGGGACTGTCCAGCCTGGAGAAGAGAAGGGTCTTGGGAGACATAACTGTGGCCTTCCAGTGCCTGAAGGAGCCAGCAGGAAAGATGGAGAGGGACTATTCACCAGAGCCTGGAGTGACAGGACAAGGGGGAAGGGCTTCACACTGCCAGAGGGCAGGGAGAGAGGGGATATTGGGAAGGAATTCTTCCCTGGGAGGGTGGGGAGGCCCTGGCACAGGTTGCCCAGAGAAGCTGTGGCTGCCCCTGGATCCCTGGAAGTGTCCAAGGCCAGGCTGGACAGGGCTTGGAGCAACCTGGGCTGGTGGGAGGTGTCCCTGCCCATGGCAGGGGGTGGGAACTGTGTGAGCTTTAAGGTCCCTCCCCCCTCAAGCCTTTCCATGATTTTATATCCCAGCCCCGTCAGCAGATAATTTGCAGAAGTGGTTTTTTCCCCCCAAAGGTCTTGGGAAAGTAAAATGACTTTTTTTTACACGCTGTTTTAGAAGGATCTGTGTTCCTTTGGTGACTTCAAGCCACACAAGCCACTCTTAACACGGACTGTGTCCACATAAAAATGTTCCAGAGTGAAAACACACACAGTGCTTCTGTTAGACACAAATGTGGGATCACTCCTGGTGACATTCGAGCGAGGTCTCAACCAGAGCCTTTCCCCCCCTGCCAGCAAATGTCCACAGGATGGAATTCCAGACTCAGAGCACTTACAGCAAAGGCCTCGTGGAACTCGAACACGTCGATGTCGTTCAGGGTGAGCCCGGCCTTCTCCAGCACTTTGGGGGTGGCATATGTTGGGCTGGAGGACAGGGAGCACACACAGGCCTTGCCTGAATGTCTCCTCATGGCACTGCCCCCCTGCCACAGCCACAGTGACATCCCCTCTCTGCAGGGTCCATGGCACAGCTCTGCCCATCCCAATCCCACTGGGACACCACCCCTGTCACTCCCGGGGTGCCCCCTCCAACCCTGGGTGGGGGTTCCTGCCCCAGCTGCTCCCCCTCCTGCCCCCAGCTCACACACCAGCAGGGTGGGAAGGCCTGAGGGGACACAGTGTCCGATGGGACACTTCCCAATGGTCCCCAGCACCACCTACCCCAGCAGCAGCTGGTCCTTGGGATCCTGGGACACGTACACGAAGTCCCTGCGCGGGAGAAAGGCTGTCAGGGACAGGGAGAGGGGCAGGGAGCCAGGGCAGGGAGCCAGGGCAGGGAGCCAGGGCAGGCTGCAGAGGCCACGTGGAGCAGCCCCTCTTACCTCAGGTAGGCCTTGGGTTTGTACCCCATGGCCAGGGCCTTCTCCTCGGACATGATCAGCATCGCCGACGCTCCGTCCGTCTGGAAGAGGCGGGAGAAGCCGGGTCAGGGCTGAGGGAGCAGCACCCCCTGCACACAACAGGCCCAGCAGGACACAGGGAATGGCTTCCCACTGCCAGAGGGCAGGGAGAGGAGGGAGATGGGGAAGGAATCCTTCCCTGGGAGGGTGGGGAGGCTCTGGCTCAGGTTGCCCAGAGAAGCTGTGGCTGCCCCTGGATCCCTGGGAGTGTCCAGGTTGGACGGGGCTTGGAGCAACCTGGGCTGGTGGGAGGTGTCCCTGCCCATGGCAGGGGGTGGCACTGGGTGATCTCTCATGTCCCTCCCAACCCAAACCATTCTGGGCTCCCATGAAGTTCAGACTGAAGCTGCTGCCTTCCAGAAGTATCACATCATCAATCCCATCCCGGGACACAATTCCTGTGGGTGCCTGAGAAGGACAAACCCTCAGGAGACAGCTACAGAACAGCAAACAGGGGAGAGAACCCCAAGCTTCAGGGGTTCAGTTATTGATTTCAGAACAAAACAATCCAGTCCCCAAGTTCACCAGATTACAACTGAGCTCTGAGTCGTGCCTGGCAAATCTGGAGGCAGGGACATAAAAAGGGGAATGCTCATTCCCAGACTACACCAGCTTGAGCTACCTGCCTACGGGAGGATGGAGTGGACAGTGTTGCCCTCTGGCTGGCAGTGATGGGAACAGGAATTATTACCAGGAAGGAGGAGTTGGCTGCTGTCACAGTTCCATAGGGCTTGACAAACGCGGGCTTCAGCTTCCCCATCTGCTCCATGGAGGAGGGCCGGATCCCGTTGTCCTTGGTGACTGTGTCTTTGCCTGTCGAGGGCAAAAAGCACTTTAAACTATCAGAATCATGAAAATATACCTGAATTTTCACATCAGGGATTCCCAAGGGGGAAAAAAAAAAAAAAATCGGAAAATTGTGCTTTTTATGACAAGCGGGAAGAGGAAAAAAGGGAAAATCCATTTGTGGCATCAGGATATTTAACATGGCTAAAAACAGTGAAGGTAGCTCACTTTTTCTCCGAAGACAGCAAAAACAAAGTGCTGAAGTTATTTACTGCAAGGAAGAACTACCACAGCTGATAAAAGAACTTAAATTTAGGTTAAAAAAGCCTAAATGGAGAACCAGCCCTAAATCAGTTCACGTTCATGTGCTGAGTTTTGAGGAATTAAGAGCTCTGGGAAGGACCAAACATATCCACCTTCAACTGTGCCAACTGCTAAACAAACCTGTTAACAAAAAGGACCAATTTTACAATGAAGAGCACAAGGAACTGTGGATCTACACGGAAAATCTTCCAGGATATTAACTGTATTGCACCACAGTGTGCCCACATGGGCTGGGGATGAGGGAGACACCAGGAAAGGCCATGGAAAGGACAGTTTAAATCCTCTCCCCAAAGGGTT